CCCAGTCTCCTCTGTTTCCTGGTCCTCCTTCACCACTTCGTCATCTTCTTCCAAGCCTCACGTCCCTCCTTTCTCCACATTGATGGTGTGGCCGTTCATCCAGTCTCCTCTGTTCTCCTCTGTTCCGTATCTTCTTCCAACCTTCTTCCAACCTCCCCCCCCCTCCTCCCTTCTTCTCGTTGCCTCTGCTAGTAGAAAACAGCCTTAGATGGCTGATTGTGTGCTTGGAGTTGTAAGTTTTCAAAAAGAAAAAAAAAACTAAGAATTCCAAAAACTTCAGCAGCAGGGGTGTCTGTCTGTCCCTGCGCTTGCCGGTATCAGCCATACTCCAGTTAGCCCTATTATTGAGTTTTGTTATGGTGGTTTTCCTCAATACTTCTGAATGTTTTCACAGCCAAAACCAGTTAATGGCCCGGGCTGGTGTTTCAAATTCTTTGTAAAATTTTCATATGGGATGCTAGGCCCAGTTCCCAGCATGTGCTGCTCCCCACAAATAGATTGGAGCTTTGCCCCTACTCCTCAAAAAAAAAAACAGAGGCTATTCAGAAGCCCATAATCCAAAATTACGCTACCCGAGTGATACTCAGCAGACCAAACCAAACCCTGCCTCAACTGTCTTATCCTCGTCCCCCAGCAGATTGGATCCCGCCTTTCCGAGGAGCTCAGACCCAGCAGGCTCAGCAAAACCAACAGAATCAACTTAAGAGCTAGGCTGAACTCTGGGCCGCCCGGCGGCCGGCTCGTCGCCCGGGCGGGGGGCCGGGCCGCCTGGCCAGTCGTTCCGCCCGGTTGGCCACCGGACGACCCCAGCGCATCGTCGAGGGTTTTTTTTTTTTTTTTTTCCGTCGCGGGGGGCCTTCTTCCCCCCAAAGGAGGCCGTGTGTGAAAAAGAACAAAACAAAAAAGGGTCGGTAGGGCCGATTTGAAAGATTTTAAATCGCGGCCCATCTGCGCCGTCGATCTCCAAGATCGACGGCCCAGATGGACCACGATTTGAAATGTTTCAAATCGGGCCTACCGGCCCTTTTTTTCCCCCACGCTGTTCTAGTTTCCTGCCTCACCTCGGCCGACTACTGTAGCTCGTCTTCGCCTTCGAACCCCACGCCCGACGCCTCACTTTGGCCGACTTGCACATTCGTCGTTGCCTTCGAACAGTGCGCCCGCCAACGCAGTTGACGCCCCCCGGACGCCATCGCGCTGCCCGCCGACGCCCCCCGACGCGTGCCACGGTGAGTGTGTTAGTACGAGGGAGAGAGAGAGAGAGAGAGAGAGAGAGAGAGATCTTTTTCTTCTTCTTCTTCTTCTTCTTCTTCTCCTCCTCCTTCCTCGCTTTTTCTTCTTCTTCTCCTACTCCTTCGCTTCTTCTTCTTCTTCTTCTTCTTCTTCTTCTTCTTCTTCTTCTTCTTGTCGCTCTTCCTCTTCCTCTTCGTCCTCTTCTTCTTCATCTTCTTCTTCCTCCTTCTCTTCTTCTTCTGCTTCTTCTTATTCTTCCTCTTCTCCTCCTCCTCCTCCTCCTCCTCCTCCTCCTCTTCTTCTTCTTCTTCTTCTTCTTCTTCTTCTTCTTCTTGCCCCCGCCGCCCGCCATCAGCGACCACCAGTTCCGATTTTTTTTTTTCTTTTTTTTATCTGCCTCGTGCGCGCACGTGTTGGGCCGCGTCTCCTACACCACCCCCCTTCTTCTCATCATCGTCTTCTTCTTCTTCTTCTTCTTCTTCTTCTTCTTCTTCTCCGTCTTCTTCTTCTCCTACTCCTTCTTCTTCTTCTTCGCACCCTTTCTCAGCCCCTGCCCTCCATCCTTTCTCGCCCTCCATTTCTCACCCCCGGCCCATCTTCCACCTTCATCTTCTTCTTCTTCTCGCCCACCTTTTGCACCCCCCTCCCATCTTTTTCATCTTCTTCTTCCTCCTCCTCTTCTCCTCCTCTTCCTCTTCTTCTTCTTCTTCCTCTTCTGCTTCTTCTTCATCTCTTCTTCTTCTTCTTCTTCTTCTTCTTCTTCTTCTTCCTCCTCCTCTTCTTGTTCTTCTTCCACAGACACACCTGCAAGGTC